ATGATGTCTGAGCACTTTCCCTCAGTAATGATAACTGAAGTTCTCAACAGGATGGACTCGTTCAGGATTTTCAGATCGAACCGTTCTCCCGACTGGACAACCACATGGTCTCGATCTGGAAAAAAAAAAAAAGCACGTGGGATGGTATGAAGCGGGGTGGCAGAAGGTATTGTGGAGTAAAGCACGGCATAGCATATCAGTGGTGTAGCACACCGCGGCGCGAAACGGTTCGCGAAAGGCTGCGCGAACACTGCGCGACCCCATGAGGGCGAGATTTTCACTTTTTATCCGATACTGGGGGACGTTATCCACGAGGCATTTAGAAGGATGCTCATTTCTGTCCCTGTACGAAAAGACATAGTCCAGGTTAAAGTCAACAGGCACATCGCAAATTTGTTCGCTAGTGGTAATTCTGCTACACGTGTTGCCATTTCGGATTTTCTCATTTTCGTAGCAAGCGGAAAGGACTGAAAGGAGGTGGTGAGGGGAAACAAAAATGAATACAATGATGGAACGAGTAAATAGGGGGGAAAAAAAAAAGAAGAAGACAAGCACGTTCATCTGCACATGCACGAATCCCATTTCAAAACTCACATTTTTCTTTTTTCCCGGAGTAAATACTACTTATTAGGGTTAGCGGGTCCTTATGTTTTAACTCAATAATTTTCTCTAAATTTAGGGAGACAAAGTTAATTCCCCTTTTCTTTCCTTTGAGGATGTTTTTTGGGGATCTTTTAAATTTCAGCTTGCCCAGCTTTACTGTAACGCTTCTGCTAGATTCATTGCTTTCATTTACTAACAGGAGGAGGTAAGAAAAAAAGTAGAAATATTTTTTAACCCTGGTTGTATCATGCTGGCAAATGTGATGTGCGCCTTCGCGTTGTTCAGACTAAGCGGTTCAGCGTTCACGCGTCGATTATGTAAACTTCGTTTTTATTTTATTTTTCCTGCTACTGCCAGCCATGTCATTTTTCACCGCTCCGTACCTTTCATAGGGGAGGCGACCTTGGGTTCTGTCCCATACCCTGGCTTCCCATTTGACGCTGCTTCGCTCTGAGCAAAAAAAACAAAACAAAACAAAACAAAACAAATAGGTAAGCATTTACATGCTCGACACACGTACATAGAGCCAACAGATCGGCCTACTTCATCCGAGCATTCACGTGCAGCAGTTCTTACCTTCAACAAACAAGTAACCAATACAGAAGAAAAAAAAAAAAACTTGCTTGGGTTTACCATTTTGTAGACAAAATTTAGAAAGTCATTTTTGAGGACACCCAAAAGGGGAACGCTTGGAAAAAAAAAAAAAATTTACATGCTCCAAAATAGAACAAATCACGTTTTTAAAAAATGTACCAATTCGCACTGCAAAAATAAAACAAATAAAATTGCGTGCTCAATAGGGGCATAAATGTGTGTATTTTAAAAAAAAAAACAAATGTGTAAAATGTCTTACCTTGATGACACCCTTTTGACAATTTTGTTTTGCATGCAACGGTGCGCCGCCAGCTCCAGCTCATGAAATTTCAAGCCTGACCCTTTTCCGAAAAAGGAAGCCTCATTCTGGTCATTAGCTCATTTATGGGGAAATATAAAAAGAGAAAACGCGGAAAAAAGGGGACGGAAAACATGCAGAAAGAACGCAGAAAAAGAAAATAAGCCTGTGCATGCCCTGGTGCACGCATTTAAAACTGCATTTCAAATTGAACACAAAGGAGACCAGACAAAAACGGGGGATAAGCCTACCCACATGGGCGTGAACAGACTGCTCATATTTCTTCCTCATATTGAGAATGCACACCATCTAAACAAATCGCGACGACATCATGCACCTACGTAGGAGCACAATTTACAACCAAAATGTAGGACATAGCCCCACCGTCATTTTTTTTTTTTTTTTTCCGTCTCAGAGAACTCCATATGAAGAAGGCAAATTCCGCTTCGTACGAGTGCAGCGGTGTACAGTTCATTCTTTTTAAATGGCTTCTAAACTTCGCAGCAGTATAAAAATCACCAACCTTGTGCACACCACCATGAAAAGAAATAATCCATGTGAATGCGCACATGAAATCCGTTGAGACGGAACTTTTCAAACGTTGTGAGCATTTGGAGCGTCTCGGTGCAGATAATTTCCCATGGCAGACGTTGCTATGAATAAGTGGGCTCTCTTTAATGTTCCTAAATTGTGATAGTCCCTCATCCCTAGGGTGAATGCACATATGCACATTGTTATGCTTTTTTTTTTTTTTTTACTTGAACAGTGTGCTCTCTCTCTTCGTCTCATTGAACACAGTCCAAAGATTGAATACACAACAAATGGAAGAAAAGGAAGTAAAAAAAAAAAAAAAAAAAAAAAAAAAAAACACGCCAACTTTAATGGAACGGGACCGAAGTGTGCCCCTTTTTCGCAACAAGAAGATTAATTGAAAAGGAGTGGAGGAAAAATTAGTTAAACAAAGCAGATGCGCAGCATTTTACCCAAATACATTATTTTATTTCATTTTTTCCCCTTCACCCCACCATCTCCATTTTGACGAATGGTACTACGTGGAAGCCCGCGGAAGAGCCATTTCAATGAGGAACATGCCCCAATAAGCTAGATGCCAATTTCTCCTCAGCTGTTTATGCCAAAGATAATGTGACAAGGCACAATGCAGAGGGCATGCGAAATGGTCGTATCTTTGCTGCGGACGGATGCCATGACCCAAAAATGCCCATTCCACGTACTGAACGTCCAGATACTTGAGTTGTTGCAGAAGGAGGGACTCATTAGGGGATTCTCCATAAAGGGAACAAAAATTGACATTCTGCTTAAACACTATAAGGGCGCACCGGTAATCACCATCTGTGCATTATATGCTCGGGAGTACATCTCTACACAGTTCACTGCCCTTGCATGGAGAGGCAGCCCACGCCGTCCTCCTTCACGATGTTCATCATGACGTGCTTCACGCTGTTGTTTTCTTTTTTTTTTTGCGACCAAACGATCTTAAAATGACCCCTTTTTACGGAAGAGAGCTTAAAGAGAGGTAACTTTTTGCAGGCAGCCATAAACACATGCATTATTGTCTTGCCCCCCTTTTCTTAGGTCATAAGAAACATTCGAGTCGTTTCGAAGCCAAGCAGAGATATTTGGTTAACACCCCACGAGTTGAAATTCCGCACACGGTTTAACACTGGCCTGTGGGTTATGCAAACCAGCTGTGGAGTGATAAGCCACAGGGATTGCATTCGAATGGGGGTTGGTGGGAAAATGTTGTTTGCCGTTAATAATGGGTATCAGCATTTTTGCTAGTTTTTTTTTTTTTTTTTTTTTTTTTTGTGGAAAATTTTATAAAAGTGGGGAATATCGTCAGTTGCGATTTTTCCATTTACAAAAATGGACACCGATATGAGAAATACTCTTAATTGCCCACTTTGTAAAGATGTACCAAAAGTGCACATTTAGGTGTGGTTCTCTTCCCTGGCTCACTTTTCATTAACAAGCAGAAAAAAAAAAGCACGTCCTTGGCGGTGTTGTAAATGGGCGTTCGGCTACTTTTTATGTGCCAATTTTGGCAACAAATGTGAATTGTGGAGTAACTTATTACCCGTAGCGAATTCCACGCGGGGGACACGGGCGGGCCGTCTTACTGCCCCCCTTTTCAGGGTCTTCAATTTTTACGTGATTTTATGTACACATTTTGTTAAGCGTTTGTGCTTCGCCTCAGCGGTGGGGTGTGTACATATATCCCCGCAACACGTACATGCGAACCTGCGTGTGTATCTGTCCTGCGTGCCCATCTCGTGTACATGCGCGGGATGCAAAAGTTTAGCAATTCGTTTTGCATCCACCAAAAGCAACATTGTTTAAAGGAGATTAAAAGTTTGCACGCATAAAATGTGTGCATTTTTTTTTACCCTTTAAATAGACCCTACCCAAATGTGGGCGCCAAACCATGTAGACGAAATTTTTTTTTCCCCTTTTTAAAAAATCCACAACTGTGTGCCTGTTCAGCCGAAACAGCATATTGCTCTTGTGGGGTAAAACAGGCAAAGTGAAAGGAACACGGGGGGGCTAAATTCAACTGCCTCCACAAAGAATTATCCATTTGTGCATACAAGTACATATGTTCATTATCCAGCAGAATGCGTACAGTGATCGCATAGTCTCAAAGCGCAAACGGGGGTACCCGCATGACGGTGTGCTACTGCGATGGGGGGGGGAAGGCCATCTATACGGCGATAAAACATACCGCACTCGACAAGCCATGGGGAACACGTGTAAATTTACAAAAATGAAGGGGCCAAATATATTTGGCCTTATATCCTTCCATCTCAAAATTGTGCATGTAGCTCCTTTGTCATGTAAGCATGGACCCATTTTAACATTAACACGAGGGTAACACGTTGCGCAAAAAAAAAAAAAAATTAAACATAAGCGTAAGTATAAGTGGAAATATAAACATGAACACATGTGTGACACCCAAACAAACGTCCTTGCTAAGTATTCTTTGCACGTGCACCCGCACATTATATATCCCTGTGACGAGGAGCAACTTCCGACGCAGGAACATGTGAACACAATTGCAAGCAAAACATGCAGCCGTAATTAGCAAACTCGCATGGAGGCAGGAATTATCGTGGCGTTTTTTTTTTTTTTTTTTTTTTTTCTTCTCTCCATATTTATATGCCCATTCATGGCACTACTTTTTCCACTGCAAGAGCTATGAACCTGCGCAGAACATGACGCGAAGCAGGGCCAATTTGTTGAAAGAAAGCAGTTACATGAGCAGAAGTGTGCCTTTGCAAAAGTGTGCTTTTTCGCATGCACATGGATAAGCGCATATGTATATAATCGCATAGGGTACATATGCATGTACGTCCGCATGTGTGCGTAGCAATTCCACGTTGCCCCTATAAGATATCCCCCGTGGCACGAACCCACCTGTAGTAGCAAACTCAAAACCGTGAAGAGGCAAGCTTGCCATTTTGCCTCACCCATCGTGCAAAATACAAACATGTCATTTGACGATTTGACGGACAATACGAGGTCCGTCCGGAACATCCCGGGGGCTAAGTTCATAGTTAGCGAACAGATAAACAAAGTGGAAGAATTTAGAAGCGCTGCTTAGAAGCGATTTTTTTTGGGGGGTCACTTAGCAATATGAATTTCAGCGTTTGCATAGTGGGAGACCGTCGCACAAGCAGCGTCCACACAGTTCGATTTGGCCTCATGTTAACCTGTGCCCATCTATGCCCATTCGTGCCCATCCATGCTGATTCATCTTGCCCCCATCCCGCAGGAACACGTAACAGAATTTCTGCAAAATAAAAATGAGGAAACAGTTCTTCGCCTGGCCAAGGAGCTCCTATTGTAAGTGCACCTCACCCTTTGCGAAAAAGACGCCTTCACCATGTGTGGGCACCAAGTACATATTCGTTATAGCAGTATAGATTGTACGTAAAAGTTGAAGCCCTTCGCTCGCAAAAGGCAAAACGTAATAGTAACAAGGTGATGGACACCCTTCCCCAATGGTGCAAATTTGTCATACCATACCTCCTTCAGGAAATACAAATTCATGGAGCATACTTTTGTAACTAGACAGATCAATACGGAGAAAAAAATCCCCGAATTAAAAGATGCCCTAAAAGTAGTAAACGCCCTTTACAAAAGAAAGGTTCGTCCCTTCTGTCCTCCATACGCATGCTAAACATTTCTCTATTGCGAATTTATGAAGTGTTTGCAGTCGCGTTCGAGTTGGCCAACGTGTACTTCTTCCAGATGGTTTACCCATTTTGCCCACCTCTATATAGAGGTACACGTGCATATGCCTATTCATGCGCACATAACTCATGTGCGTCCATCACACCATTACAGGAAATGAACGACAGCAAAAACTTGGAGCTGTATTTTCCCCTGGAGGAGTCCCTGTACGCCAGGGGAGTTATCGACAAAACGGATAACATTTTACTTTGGCTGGGGGTAATCGAAAACGCAGGCACTACTGGAACGAGTCGTTCTTCATTTTGTATGTTCGCCATTTGAGAGACACAGCTTTTGTACCTCCCCTGGTTAACCTTGCTTAACCATGCACTTATTAGGCCAACGTAATGGTTGAATTCCCCTTTAAAGAGGCAGTGGAGCTACTGAATCACCACTTGGATAGGGCAGTAAATCTGTACGACGAAATGGTACGCACACGTGTGCATATAAATGTGTGAGAAAGATACACCATCTCATTATGCAAAAAAAAAATAAATTAATGGGAACAATAAAATGCGGAAAGCGCATTTTTGTGACCATTTGTTTCATTCTCCCAATAAAATAATGCAAATAAAATATGCTCCACTGTGCGAAGAAGAAAAAAAAAGTTTATAACCCACCATTCAGGGTGTGCCCAACTATTTACATGGCACAAATGTGTTCGCGCTCAACGTTTATAATTTTTTTTTTTTTTTTTTTTTTTTTTGTCCAGGACAAAGAGCTTCAGTGGCTGCACGAACAAATATCAACCACAGAAATTAACATATCGAGAATTCACAATTATGTAGAGATGAAAAAAAAAAACAAAGAAAAGGACGTTGTTGAAGCTCAGGGCTAATTTATAGGGAACACGACATATGACGTGAATTACATTTCTTCACAATGTTGTCGGGAAAAAAAAGTGTAAATTCGTCTGTTCAGGATGCCATGGCCGCAAAAAAGGCAATGTGCAAATGTGAAGGCCTGCACGTTAAGTGTAGAAATTCTTACCCAGCATAAGAGGGGAATCCAAGGCACATTCATATTTTACAATAAATCACTGTTTTTTTTATTCAAAGGGGAGAAAAGACAAAATGAGGTGCAACTTTTTTAGTGAAGGGGAACAAATTTGAACAGTAAAGGAAGAAATGTTCTTTGCGTTCTGTGGTGTGGTGCGACGTCAAGGCGTTTTTAAAGACAACTTCTTCACCCCCATTTTTGTCACACCTCGTTCAATGTCTTCTCCATCCACATTGCCCCATTTCCACACGCCCTCTTTCACCTCATCCCAAGCGTAACAAACTAAGTCGACATAAAAATACGTCCCTTTTCTTAAACCCATCTCAGAATGTTCACCCAAACGGGTGAAAATAAACATAAAATGGATTAGCCGAATGTGCCTTGTATATGTGTGCATTTAATTTGTTTTCCCCTTTGCTCATTTCTACTTGCAAAGACACAAATGGTTATACAATTGTTTTTTTTAATTCATTTGCCCAGTTGTGCATTTTTTTTTATGATAGCCGTAGGAATTTTTTTTTTTTTTTTTTTGTGCACACACTGTTCAGAAAAAAAAAAAAAAAAACAAAGGTAAAAGCCATGCAAATTAAGCAACGTAAATGGGGAACCAGCAAAAGAGAGAAACAAATGGATGTTATGTCTCGCTAGCTGTTGCAGATTGTTACAAAACAATCTGAACGAGTCAGGCAAAATTCGGCGTACGTTGTTGTTGGCCCTCTATTTAATTCTTGCGTGTTCATATATTTTTGCTGAGAAACATATGAACAGAAAAAAAATAAATAAATAAAATAAGTAAAAGCATAAAAGTAGTTCCGCGCATGCGCCCCACTAATTAAAAAAACGTCTCCTACTGAAGCGGCACACCCCTGCTACTTTGCCATATTTGGACAAATTCGCACTTTTGTATCATTCGGAAAAAGCTGCATTTTTTTGTAGCCACACACAACTCGCAACGCAGCAACAGTTGCGCAAAATAATTGGACAAATTTTCAAATCATCATTTTGTCGGCACTCCATTCGAGAGTAACACGGCCGCCTTAGCACCAGCGACAAAGAAGTTAAATGATAAGTGCACCCCAGTAAGAATGGTTAATTTTGTTTCTACCCCTTCTTACGAAGAGAGGAATATATTTTTTAAAATGAAAAAGACAAAAGGTCTCTAAAATTGGAAAGTATGAATACGCCTTTTGCTCAGACCCAGTGGATCACTTATTTATGTGTTTATTTATTTTTTTCCCCTTCACCCCTTTTTGTAGAACCTTTTTAATAACAATGCAGACCATTTGGTGGAGTTAAACGAACTAAGGGAGTATAAGCGGATGTACAATTAAAATGAAAAATAAAGAAAGGTACTACCCGTGCCCTTAAATTATATCTGTATCTTTTGCTTCACTTTGTCTTTTTTTGTTGTTTTATTTTGCAGCATGTCTGAAAAGGTGAAGAAGTACGAAATTGCGGTGTATTCGTATAAAAACCAAATACGAAATTTAAAGGTAGTAAAAAAAAAAAAAAGAAAGATTGTTCAGGGCAGTTTTGCTCTTCTAAAAATGAGCACCTTTTCGAAAGGGCCAAACAGCTAAAGGGGATGCACCACTGCAGTGATTAGACAAAAACAGAATTGCTGCTACCAAATGGAACGGTCCTCTTATAAAAAAAAAAAAAATAAAATAACCCGGTTGTTTTTTTCTTCCCATATTCGTAGAGAAATCAACTCCACGGGGGGGACGTGAACATACAACTCATAAACGTCTTCATTAACGCCATCTGTGATATAGTGCAGCACATCTGCTCGGACGTGCGCACACCGGGTAAGAAACGCACAAAGTAGATAAAACAGGGAAAAAAAAAATATACTACATACTCCCGAATATGAGAACGAACATGAGGAGGAACACATGGACGGCCCCTCATTTCCCCCCTCAGTCTTGGCCCTCCTCCCGTTAATCCATTCCATACTGAATTCGATCACCGTGGTAGGAAGACTCAACGGCGCGTAGTTGCGTATGCGTAGTTACACATGCTCACTTGTGCGAACTGGCATGCGCTTAATTGGCCCCACAAGGCGAAGCCAAAGCTCTGACGAAAAAAATTTCACCCTTTTATGTGACTCCCCAATTCCCCGATGACACCTTTTTAGAGGGATAAAAAAATATACCGGTGCACAAAATTGATCCATACAGTATTAACCCAAATAGGAGATACACACGTGGAGAAGGGTACTGGAGAGAGAGCCCAAGAGGAGGAGGCGGAGACAAAGGATGAACTTGTTCCTCACAAATTAGAAGACCTAGAGTGGATAGCTTCCGAAACTGATGATAAGGGGTGGTTAGCCATTAGTGACAGATGGGAATTATGCAAGAGGGATTTAAAATGGTTGTGTGTGAAGACAAACAACAGGTCATGGTTATTGTATCGGCACCTCTGGGAACACTGCTCCAATGATCTGAAATATGTATCTGTCCTATTTGATGATAAGAAATGGCTACATCTGCATAATGTTTGGAAATTCATTCCCCTCAGTTTGAAATTAAGGGCTATCTCTTCAAAGGACCCAAGTGTTTGTAAGCCATCCTTGACTGAAATGATTTTAAAGGATGATGATATTTATCAGGACAATACATTACCGCTCAGTTCGCACTTTTTGAGTAAGCCGAACTTGTGGAGTGATCCCCATTTGGCAGGTGACCCTTCATCACCCAAGTGCCTCCCACACAGCCGCATGGGAATATACTCACATAGGAATAGCACTCATTTGTATGCAAGTGACCCCCTGGGGAGGAAAGAACATAAAAAGTTGTTATTACTTCGTACTCAAGTTGAAGAGGGGGAGAATTTCCTAAAGGAGTCATTCCGAAATGGAGTGTCTAGCATGGAGAAGGGAACCCTTGAAGGAGGAGGGGTCCACAAAAGTGAAAAAATGTTGAGATCCTCTCCTGTTAACCGTATAAAAAAGGATAATCACTGTGTAGGGAGAATGCTTTACTCGGTTAATTCAGGACGGGGGAGAGTCACTCCTGTGCCGCGTCCCGCTCCAACTCCCCTTTCGAAAGGTGAAGGTTGGAAATTATTGTCAACCGGAAGAGGTGTCAACAGAACATGCGCACCGCATAATAGGCACGAGGATGAAGGAGATAATGTAGCAGCCTCTTGTGCTGAAAAAGAGGCTAATCGAGTTGGCAGCTTGGGTAGAAGTAAATACTCCAATGAGATCCATGTCAAGGGAATTTCTAACAGAAAGGAAGCCCAGGAAGATGTGTCTAAAGGTGGGGGATTCACCCAGAAAGTTACTCCAAAGGATTATAAACAGAATGGTTTGCACACAGTTGAGAGTTATAAAGAGGAGCTGGACAAAATACAGGGGAGTAAAAATATCATGAGGGGTAAAATTTTTTTTTCAAAAGTATCAAATGGGGAATCGCCAATGGGAAATCAAAAAAAGCAAAGTTGCTATTATAAAGGTACCGATATGAGTACCAAGGTGGTGGAACAAAGAAGTGGCCTTTCAGCTGAACCCCACATTGTAAAAGAAGGAAATAACCGAAGTGGAGTGGAAGGTACAGATGAAACGAATACCTTGGGAGAGAATATTGTAAAAAGTTCAAAGGCAGGCGTATATCGTAGACTACTCGTGCCCCCCCTTCAGAAAGGAAAAATTGTACCAAAAGGCAAAGGACCACATTTAGGAGCATATACTCCAATTTTGAAGCATCCACTTAGTGCCAAAGGCTCAGAAGTAGAACAGAAAGGTAGCAGTAATTTGTCCGTGCAAAATGGAAGAGTGAAGAAAATGTTGAATGGCCCAAAGAAAATACCCCCCGTTACTGAGGGATTAAAAAGCCTTCTGAAAATAAAAGAACCAAATGGGAAGAATATTTCTGATTTGTTAAAGACAAAAAGTTTCAAGGAAAGTCCATTGGATTTAAAAAAAAGTGGCAGCAATGTGCACTTAGACGAGGTGGACCTCGCTACTTCGAGTGAAGATGGTGGCAAAGGTTATGGGCGTTTATGAGTGGGGGAGTGAGTTGGGTACCATTAGTGAGGCGCCATTCTACGAGGCGCCGTCCAGTGATGCGGTGTCCTTCTTCTGAGAAAGGCGAAATGGAGAAAAGTGGAGGAGAAGCCAAGGGGCGAAGAAGCGATAAATGTTGTACAAGAGCTTCGTTTCTCCTCCCCCTTTTGAAAATACCCCACTAACGAAAGTCTTTTTTTTTTTTCTTTTCAGAAGAGGAGATCCAAGCGAGCGCGCCACACAAGGAGGAGAGTCCCAAGAAGGTAACGCGAAGGAAGAAAAAAATAAATAAAAATAAAAAACGCCCAACCGTTTGACCCCCCAAAGTTCACTCACTTTCCCGTTGTGTACACATAGGAGCGCACCTCTAATTACCTTTGCCAACTTTGCAGGCGCCCAAGGGGAGCACTAGTACATATTTGTCTGACCTATTTAATGCATTCAATTTCACGAGGAATGGAAAGTTAGGAAGGGCATCGAGCCGCAGTGATGACGCGGAGAGGGAGGAACGGAGCAGTGAATTTGATACTCCTGGGGAAGAGAAAAGTTCGGAACCCAGCGACGATTCTGGTGCGGAACAGGAGCAGCATAGGGATCAGATAGCTAGCGACGTGGAAGGTGAAGCCTTTCCAGGGGTAGACAGCGATAAGGGGAGCGATAAAGGAAGCGCGGATGGCAACACAGATAGCAGCACAGATGGTAACGCAGATGACAGCACGAAAGACCGTGCGCATCCCATGGGGAGGAGGAGCTTAGAGGGGTATTCAATGAAGACGGACTTCCTGCAGCTTAAGAAGTCGGTATCGAGTGCTGGCTCGCCAAGCGATATGGTCGCCCAGTTTCAGGGCGAGCCACTGCCCCAAACGATTGGCCATCTGGACCAAAACAACGCAAAGGGGTTCTCCTCCCTCATTTTGGAAAAACCCATGCAGAAGTTTCCCCCACGAAAGAGTAGCGGCATTTTGCAAAAGGTCCTGAACGCAGACTTGGTTAATCTGAATTATTCAAATAAAAGAATGACTGCAGAAGAAATTGCAAAGCATAAGAATGCATCGCTCCATATAACTGTGAAGAGAAAGGTTTCTTTGTCTTCGTTAAAAATGAAAGCAGTGCCGAAGCGCTGAGATTGGGGAAGTCATACAAATTGGGGCATAATCTCTCCCAGGGTTAGTGGAGGGAGTGTGCTGCTTTTAAATGTAGCATTTGCATAAAATGGGTTGCGCTGCAGGGAGTACCCCTCTCCCCCCACTATGTCTTATGCATAAAAGGCTATTCCGATTAGAGCGGAAGGAAGAAGCAGGTAAAAAGGGGAGCGCTCGATCAGGATGGCTGACAGACACGCTGGGCACCCACAAAATGATTTAGAGCCCTTTCGAGGGGTGCATAAACATTGTTAGCTTCACTCGAAAAAAACAAAAAAAAAAAAATTGCAGATAAAATGCAGCTAAAATGTAGCTGTTAAGAATTACATACGTCCATCGGGCAGTTTTGTCCCCTTTACATTATAACTGCGCAATGAGTAAGGGGTCTTCTTTTACAAACTCGGGGTCGCACCTGGGTGGGCAAGTTTAGCGCGCTTGTCTGTTTCGCTCCAATTTGGTGACCTCCCATTTGGATAGTCGCACAGGGCACGCGTACCCCCCCTTATACCTTACCCTGCCACCGGCGCGGGAAACCACAACAAAAATCTACCTGAGCATTTTAAAAAGGAAAGACCCACATGAGGCGAGCAGGATGCCACATATGTCCGTAAATGAAGAAGACAAACTAAAAAATATTTTCTTAGACTTGTTATTAATTTCGTTAATATTTCTTAGCGTTTCATTTTTGAGGTTTTGCAACTTTTTGCTCGGAAACATATTTTCCTTTTTGCGCCTCTTAATAACTTCATCACATGCTTTTACGATAAGGAAGTTCCTTAGCGTTTCCATCGTTTCACTTGGGATGTGTTTATTACTGGGAAGGCCATTTGGTTGTTCTTTGTCTTTGCTGTGTAGGGGGTCAATTGGGTCGTTATTAGCCTGGCTTTTGCTCATTACATTTGGCATACCCATCTGTGGTGAGGGGTCTTCATAGGGATGGTCTTTAGCATACACATTTTGCAGAGAGTTGCGCTGATTAGAAGAGTCTCCTTCCTGAGCGGCCTGTCCTTGAGTTTTTTCCAAGCTGTTATTTCCAATTTTGTACAAAGATAAGAACACATAAAAGGAAGAAAGTAAGTAGGGAACGACTAGAATGGAACAATGGACAGGGATGTCCTTCCATATGGCACAATTTTTGAAGCAAATAGAGCAGAGGGCACATATAAAAGCCATGGACCCAGAAGGGTGTATGAGAGCAAAGTGGAGGAAGTTTAATGCTTCCATTTGGTTTGTAAGGAATTTTAAAAAGTGATGTGTTAGAAGATTGGAAAGGACGCAGCCGCATATGAATAGGGCCCCAAACTTTAGGGACCCAAATTGCCTTTCGAGAAATCTGGAGGCCAAAAAAAAAGTGGATAGCTGAACTGCGCACTGTAGAACATTTTCATTAACGAAAAATGGGGACGTCAAATATTTAATGTTCAAGAGGCCAGGTTCCACGGCGCCATGTCCTCTTGTATTGTGTCCTTCCCTTGGGCCCCCTTGAAAATTGTGAATTATAAAATAGGCATCCAGATGGTCCAGGATCTCGTTTACCCTCAATAGGATACTGGACTCGTCGTCGCAATTTTTCAAATTGTAAATTAAAAATTGGAAGAAGGACGAAATGCCCACCATGCCCAGCAAGATGCCGGTCGTCACATACGGGAAGGAGTTTCGCTCTGGGTAGTACATAGACGTTTCTGCGTTTAGTCTATCACCGCGTTTGTTCTGTTCGCCCCGTTCCCCCCTTTCACACGTTTCTTTAAAGGGATCTGTTTTACCACCCTTGCAATCCGTTCTGTGCCTTGTGGTGTGCGCTGCGTCGCCCTTCTTACTGTAACCACTGTGGGGTCTTCTCACAGTCTCCAACACAGTTACGCCTCTTAGCTTGGGCCCGCGGTTCCGGTAGGGGATAACCCCAGGCGGGAACTTCCCCCAGGTGCACCTCGATAGGTAATTATGGAGTGCATTTTTCCCCCTCAAATGGTGAAACATTTTCCGCACAAGGTGAGCAGTTGTTTTTTTTTTTTTTTTCATACGAGGAGGTGTCAATTTTGAGCTGTTACGGAAAGATCTTTTCCCTTATCCAACTTGGTACAAATGAGAGGCATCGTTCATTCCTTGTCAGGTGGACACTCACATCTGTTCGCAAGGTGGGCTAGCAAAATGGGTCCGCAAAATGGTGTGAAAAGTACCCCCCGGAATGTTGCCACATACCCGCACGAGGGTACATCTGCGTAATAATAGTCCTCTCCAAAAGGACCGTTTCAACGCTGCCACAAACCTACGCAGCAGTTATAACCGGGGCGGTGGGTTCTGCCAACAAAGCGAATTGCACCACAACTGCGCAGTTGAGCAGGCTCTTCTTCTAAAAATGAAAAAAGCGGAAAGTCAAAGTCCCTGTTTTTGCATCCACAAAAAGTGGAAAGTTGGTTAAAAAAACAAAATGGGGAGAAATTTCTGTGTAAATCTGGGCATAAAATAAATAGATCCAAAAGTGCACCAACAGTAATATCTACAACGCGCACATGCAAATTAAAAAGGAACAAAGTAAAAGAAGCGCTACCGAGCTGAAGAAGGGAACAACACGCACATGGGTACATCAACATGTGGACAATCTGTAATGCTTCTTTCCGTGTACGCCACGCCCCCGTCACACCAAGGGGTCGGCCTCCTCAGCGTTGTCATTTTCGAAGGAAGAAGCCTCGCTAAGGGTTTCCGTGTTTATCCGTATTTTCTGCCCAATATGTTCGTCCTTCAATTTCTTCGCGACGTGGACTATGCCCGTGGACGGTTTGTACTTGGCTTCATTGATCCAGGCCCTGAAAAAAAAAAAAAAAAAAAAAAACACACCCAAATGAGACAAATAAATATAGTGCAGCGAAAAAAAAAAAATGAGGAAGGAACATTTCTTCCCCTGTTCATGTGAGAACAATATCATTCTTTGATGTTCTTAGAAGGGGGTCACCACACTTCCTTACGCCTTCTTTATGCGGGTTCCCCATTTCACGTACTTAAAATCGGACTCCTTCAGCTTTGAGTAGGAGTGATCATCCTCTACCACCTCGAGTCTTCCCTTGCCCAAGGGCACGGACGAAATCAACTTGTCACAAACACTCATGGGGGTGGTCGTATCCCTAGACCCATGCACAATTATTACGTAAGGGAATGAGGACAAGTCAGTGTCTAAGTTGTGCGTGAATTTCTGGAATGTCTTCACAGACGGGGACACAAGAACCTGTGGGGTTACAATGGGTTGGCAAAAGTGAGCGGGCACGTAGGGACACCCCGCAATCGCAGCAGAGAAGTCGAGAAGTCGCGGCGATGCTTAAGAAAAACGCGCCATGACGCCTACACACACAAAAGGGGTGAATGGGTGGAGTATTTTTTGTTTCGCCCCCGTTTAGTTGCCCTTACCAGGGGCTTCTTCCCATTCTTGTAGCTCAGATTCATGGCCACCACTGCCCCGAAGTAAATTCCAACAATCACGTCAGGGTTATACATCTTCACTTTGTGCTCCGCTTGCTTAATCGACTTTTTCATTATGTAGTAAAGAATTAAATGGGACCCGATGAAATATATTACTACGACAATGACCATCTGTAGATGGAGAAAATAAATGGGTTTCTATAAGACGAGCAACACAGAAGGGGGAGACTTCCCTTTTGCAATTTGTTTTTCGGCGTTCGCCCGCTTTTCAAGGGTTCTGTGGTCACACATAGGGTGCATATGCTTCCGCCTACACAAGGACGTTGTTTTTCTCACTCACCGACAAAGCCACAGTTATTGAAAAAAAGAGCAAATCCGAAAACTGGTAGGACACATAAATATTAAAGAGCATAACGCACACGATGAAGAGAAGGAACAGAATGAAAGAGCTGATGCTGCGCTTCTGATTTATGCTTGCCACCATCAAGTTCTTTTTGCCCACGGCCTTTTCGATCAGTTTTTTGTTCTTGCTTTCTCCAAACACGTGAAATCTGTCAGGAAAGTGTATGTGTGTGTGCATGTTGTAGGTAAATTGTGAGTCGCTAGTACATGATGGGTTGTGGTAAACGGATGTGTGCGGTTACTACGGGAGGTACCCGACCAAAGGGCGTGCATTCGTATGTGGATGCACATTCGCTGCGCTCAAGGGGAGTGGCATTTGCTCACCCATGAATGTACAGTATCTTTATATTTTCCTTCATTCTGTACACAGTGTGCTGGTGGATATGTTGCTTGTATGGGGGTCGTCTCTTCGCCGAAGTAGCTGGCACGTGGTAAGAAGGATGAACGCGTGGGGACAAAATAGTTGGGTTGGGTCTGTCCAATTTAATACCCTTTTAAAATTAAAACACCTTTTTGAAGTGAAATGTGTGCCGTAATTAAAAAAAAAAAAAAAAGGAAATGAGCAAAGATCGGAAGTAAAACATGTGCAAAGGGAATATATCCTCCTGCTAAGTATGAGCCATTTCCTCATGAACTGAAGCATTTGTCAGATTTTTACGCACATCAAAATGTTCTAAGTTTAAAAAGGGTAAAATGGGAGAAGAGGAACACGACTTGGAGTTTTATCAACCTGGGGAGTGTAATTTTCCGCTGTCTCTCCCTCTCACTCTCTTTTTTTTTTTTTTTTTTTAAATATATACTGTTAAACGTGGCTACCTGTTCTCATTTTTTTTTTTTTTTTTTTTTCTGTTCAGGTAAAAATTGAAAATTATAGAATGTGGAGAATACTTTTGGCTAGTTGTAAAACTCGCGGGTATTTTTTTTTTTGTTTTCTAACCTGGACAATTCATGACGTTGTTTTGTTCTTTGTTTCCTTTTTGGTTATTCTATCACATTTTAAAACGCTTTCTTTTTTCCTTATTCCATGTTCATATGGGGAAAAAAAAAAGGAGGAGCCATTATGCATTCGCTTATTTCCCAACTGCGACAACGCGTTTGGTTAAACCGTTTTAAGGGGTGAACGGAGTGTCCACCAAGAGAACTTTAAACAGATTGACAAAAGGGGGGCAATCCAGCCCCGAATTTTCGCTACGTCACGCGTGAAGAAGTGTGTATGCATACAGTATATGTGCGAATTTTTCATAATTCCAAGCGGTGCTGTACTTGTCAAAGTTGTGGAAGTTGTCGACGTTTCTGATCAGGTGTCAGTGGTACGCGGGTTGTCCCGCATATCTTTCGGGAAGAAATTCCGAATAGGTGGCTTGTTTTTGGGAGGGGATTTTTTACACCAACGTGGCCGTACAGCTATGCACACATAAGAGTGTGCCTTAATATTATTTTTTCCTCTTAAGTCCTTAAACAATGAAGAAAAAAAGTACCTCATACATTGTCTTTAACACGAATCGTTAACAAGTGTAATTTTTTTGCCATGCATTTACTCTACCGAACGGAAAAGTAGTCAAAGTTTTTACGTAGCTCCTGAAAGGGCTCATAGGTGGGCCTTCCATTAACCTTTCGGCCATTTTCCAAATGTAGGAGCTGTTCCATCCCATAAAAGTTCAGGTGGGAATAAGCGCAACACAGTTGTGTGAGTTGTAAAACTTGATCACGAGATGATATAACAGAGAAATGTGTGCAACGTACAAAATTTAACCGAGGGAAAAGAACAAATAAGAATTTTCCTACTTTGTCGATAATATTTGACTCATCTGTTTCTTTTTTTAAAGGTTGCTTCAAATGGAATGTGACATGTTTTAAAATGATAACCAGAATGTTTTCTTTTTGCGAGTTTTCTTTTTACCTTCGTGTTCCCGCTTTGTGCATGCAAAAGGGGGAAAAAATAAAATTCCTTAAAATGCACAATTCAGCGATAAAAAGGCAACATAATGGAATAAAAAAAAAACAAAAAAAAATTGAATTGTCTATTTAAGTCGCTTGTCCTTTTTTGTGTAACATGTGAAGGCATAAATGCTGACGCTTTTTACATGACAAAAAAGGAAAAGAAGTTTGCGTGTTTATGCCCTTTGAAAATTTTTAAGATTTGATGTTTTATTTTTCGCCGTTTTGTAGCTCTTTGTTTCGCACACCTTCGTTTTGCTTCGCCCTCTTCGTCTGCTTCGTTCTGTGTTGGCTTGGCTCGGCTCGTCTGTGCAGCCTTCCCTGCTCTGTTTCGCTTCTCAAAGCAGTACCTCTGCAAACATACAAATTTTTGGAGATTATCTGAGTGACGTTGTAAATGCGAACGAAGCTTAAATGGGGTGATATGCAGATTGGGTCTTTTGTTTTCCCTTATATGTGGCGAATTAAGAACATCCGGAAATTTTTACCTGAGTTTTTATTTTATGTTTTTTTCCCCCATAATGGCTGTTTAATTCAGAATTTTTTTCCTGAATTTTTTTTTGCTTTTTTTATTTTCCTATAATGGCTGTTTAATTCAGAAATTTTTAGCTTTTTTCTTTTTTTTTTTTTTTTTTTTCTTTTAATGGTTTTTTATTTCAAAATTTTTAGCTTTTTTCTTTTTTTTTTTTTTTTTTTTCCCCTGCTACTCCCTTTTTGGCTTGTTCACAAAAATAATACAACACCAGGGAAAAGTTAATTTGTCCAATTTGGTTTCACGTTAATATATTGTGGAACCTTCCAAAAATTTCTCTGCATTTTTGTATTATTTTTAGTAGAGTCTAAAATGAGCACGTTTTAAAAGGAAAGAAAAAAAAAAAAGAAGCTCGTAAAATAATGCCAACAAGTGTGGTATACACAGAATTAAGCAGAAAGATACCCTACGTGTGTTTTAGAGGTCCACATAACAACCTCCACATAATTGGCCCCACGTTTTGCACATCCATATGAGACCATGGAAGAACCAATAAAGATCCTGTATCTTCACATTTACGAAGATACGAAAACGAAGAAAATTAGAAAACTGTTAGAAGAGAATTACGGGAAGGAAAACGTAATTTCTTCTAAGGACAAGTCAAGAGTTGTGGACATAATAATCCTCGTCGTCATATACTTGTTGTGCTTGTGTTGCATTTTCCTCATATTTTATTTCCTATTTTCAAACACCC